CACAAAAAGGACCCTTGCTTCTCAATTCAACAGAACGTTCTCTGCTGATAATGTTGTGTTGGTATCAGTGCATTGGTGCGCACTGATAAGGGCTGTCTCTCTTCTTCTGCGAGGGTGTCATCATCCTCGCTGGCATATTCATTAGCGATGCTGAATATACCAGCATCTTGGTCATCGTCTGGGTCAGCAATAGTGTCGTCACTATTGCTGATGATATCTCCTTTAACTTCGCTTTAATCGACATCGACATCTTCCGCGTCGTCGAGTACCTCTACACACTTGATGTGCAAGATCCAGAAGGGTTTTGCTCGAGCGAATCCTTTGCCCCAAAAACCAGAGTCATACTCTAAATGGGTGGTTAGGCGTGGATGGCGTAAGCCATTCACGAAGAACGGTGTATGCGCTGTCGAAGCATGTACAGAGTTGTTGATGGCAAACTCCACCATCGGCAAAAGGACGCTCCGATCTGTAAAAGATTGGACATATTCATGTAGTATCTATTCGAGGACGCATTAACGCGTTCTATTGGACCACCTTTCTCGTGATGGTTAAAAGTTGACAAAGTCAGACGCGCTCTGAAGGATCGGAACACGATATTCCAAGTATCGTCGTGGATAGAGGGTCTCTATCAGATATTAGTTCACGGGACAGACCCTGAAATCGGATTACCGTGCCAATGAAGACACGTTTACAGCCCTGTGCTATGATTGAATCCTGAACGGCTGCAAGGTGTACCATTTGATGAAACGATCACCACACAACGCACACAAAGACGATCACCACACAACGAACACAAGTTTGCCATTATTCTTGTGAGCATCTTCGTTGCCCGAAGACGAAGTCCATTGATACGGACTGCCAGCACTCTGCAGGTATCGGTAGAGGCTGTAGTAGCGGACGGGACGAAGAAATGGACTTCGTTCGCTGGCACACCTCGCGAGCACGAATGTACTTACGCACAAACTGATTCCGGAGGGCCCAGCAAAAGTCGTGACTTGCCGTGAGATAAGTCTTCCTACGCTCACGATGCCCACTAGTTGGTGCATCGTGACACTCACACAAGATGCGCAGGCACAAATCGTTGTGAGTTGGGACGACAACACGAGGTGTGACGGCAACGACTGTGTAGTACAGCAACCCGTTGCGTGTTGTGTATCGATCCTCAGAGGATCGATACAAGGCCCGTAAAAATCCGAGAGATTTACGAGATGGAGTCACCAGATGATCCGTTAGTCGCAGAAGAGCCTCTTCTCCTGCGTAGGACTTATCGATGTCGTCAATCAATGTTGACGACGGAACACTAGTGACTAGCATTGCAACAGTGGTTTCACCCCACTGTTGGACTGTGCGACCGACTCGAAGTCCGGGTCGGTACGATAATTCGTGCGCGACGACATAAGTCGTCTAGATTTGGACTTAACGGAGAAGTTGTACTCCGCGAAGAAAGACATCCACGTCGCCGTCCTTTGCGAGAGGTGAGGACTGTTTACGGTCATGCATAACGACGAATGGTCCGTGTAGACTACAAGCAGCCTGTCTCTTAGGAGATGGACTCTGCATTCGCCAAAGCACACTTCATGGCAAGGAGTTCGTTGCATTGGGCTAGAATGTTACGTTTAGCCGGTTGCAGCTGACGCGACTGATAGCAGACGACGCGCTTTGGACCGTCTGCATTAATGCGCAGCCGATTGCGAAATCACTCGCGTCATAGAACACGTGAAATGGTCGGTTCCTGATCTGCAATCACCACGATGGGTGATTGCATCAAGCTCTGCTTGATTTTTACAAGGTAGTGCTGACAATCAGCGTTACATGACCACTACTAGTGCCCAAGTTTTGGCACGCCCGACCAGGTCCGAATAAGCAAATGCAACTTGCACTTGCTCATCGACGATATGACGAGCCCTTAAGCTGTCGCCCAGCTCGACAAACCATCCCAGCAAAGAGTCTTCCTTGACTCATTTGCAATAAAAGATGTCTATCTTCAAATTTTTAGCTCCATGCGCGTGTGTCGCCCCGGGAACAGCAGCATGTGCGTGCTGTTGTCTCAGCAGTTCGAACTGTTGATCACCCTGTTCTCTCAACAGCTTTGCATGTTGAGAACCTTGCTGGTGAAGTAAGGTTACATTTTTCCATGACTCGTCAAATTCATGTTGTATGATTTTGGTGACGGCGGCATACTGCCCATCTCTGTCCATGCGGACAGCATGTTAGCTCACGGTCGAATCCATTCGTTCGACCGCACTCCATTCTATGTCTTTCAAATTGAAGAAGCTTTCATGCGTGGCGTGAAGGCTGTCACTGTCATTATCCAACCGGTTTATGTTTAAATGTAGGGGTTGCGGTCCTTGGACGGACTACAAAATGCTACCAGGTGTAACGGGCCAATGGTCACTAGTACTGCTTCAGTACTAGTGCACCTACACTGACAACGGTGTAGTAGTGCTACGCGTCACTTCACGTACACCGTATGTGCAGAGAAAGGCTATCTTGTGAATGAAGAATTCAATAGGAGTAGAAAGTAAAATTGTATAGAATATAATCAAGTCCTTATTACACGTACCTTTGCTTTAGTCCCAACTTAATATATTTATCTACAAAATTGTTTGCTAAAGTCTTGCTCACCACTCATTGCGTGCGTCCATCTTTGATTGGATCGCAGGAGCTGGCTGATATGATGGCCCACATTAATCAATCGGTGAGCGCTTCGCACTATTACCCCTCATGGTGATATTCACGAACACCATCAACCTTTATGATAGTATTCTAATTAGCAGGTATCAAGGTTAATTACATGTAGCAGGCTCACCCGGTAATATCGTCGGTTTTAATTAAATTATTTTTAGGGTCAAGCAAATGGGAGAATGACGTACACAGACACAGCACTTTCGGAACTCGCGGGAGCAGTAGAAGCGGAAAGGAAAGCGCAAAAGATTACGGTATGTGTATTACAAGTAGTACATGGAGACTAGGGATACTGACGACTCAGGCGACGCGTTTATGATAGCAGCAATTTGTGTGGCTTTACTAATGGTTACGTAGGGCGAGGAAACAAGGGCGGGGAATGTAAATAGCTTCATTTCGTGGGGGCACTCGCAGCATTTGTAAGGTTAAACCCCATACAATGTGTCCGTTGCACGTACAAGCCATACCCCACGTTATCAGTGTCTACGTCTTCCGATTGTGCTAAGAAAAACCGTGACGCTGGCTGCGAAGCCTGTTGTCAGAATTTACTGGACATGTCTCCGAACCTAATTTTGACACAGCTGTAGCGACTCCAGAGCACATGACTATTGCGCGGTACATCATGGCCCTTTCTCAGTCTCGTAACGCGCATACTACGAGCTCACGAGTGACGTCGCTGCCGCAGGTATCGCCTGTTGTACAGTCTGCGAATAGCCAACGTAAAGCTGACTACCCTCAAGTATGCATTACGAAAAGAAGATACAGATACCAAATCGTAGCATGACAAATTTTAATATGCCAATATGTTGTTATTGCTACCTACCTTCTGACGGAAGATGCTTTAGTTCTCGAGGCAACTTGATGGCATTCGATAGTCTACCAAGCGCATGATATAGCCCTAACATGTACGATAACTCCATCCATTCCTCATTTGTTGCCTCTTGGAAGAAGCGATTTTGAATTAGAGAGTCGATTTCCCCCTTGTTTTCGCGAAATAGCTTTTCCATCCGTTCGACATCGTTTAGCAAGTTTAATACGCTAGCCGTCTTCCTCCATTCTTCTTCGGCGAGTAGCTCCTGAGCAGCCTTCGGAATCCAGTCGTCCCTGCCAGCGAGTTTGGCAACAGCCAGTCTGAACGTGTCCAAAGGCCCAAGCTGTCTTTCCTCTTGACCTTCGCTGTCGTTATCATCTTGCGTCCTGGCAGTCCGGCCACCCCGCAACTTATTGCTGTCCGTCAGGCTAGGCGCCGCAGTTTGGGACGGACTGACGGGGCTTGAATCTAGAGCCAGTGCCGCGGTACCGAAGCTCACACAAAGCGCAGCAACCACGAGGTATCGCCGTCGCATCGTTTCCGTGAGTCGTGCTTCCAGCGTCGGGGTGAAATCTCGTGGTTCCGAAGAGACTGGCAGAGTGACAGTGGACATCCGGACGAACGTACAAGCTCGGACTGGTCGTCAAGCTACACATCTCGATTTTTGGATACAGTAGTATTCTGTATTGGTAGCATGAGGATCAGATTGTACAGTCAGTACTTATGACTATTCTGAGATGTCTGTGTAAAATTTTGTGTGGGTCGACGATCACCATGGCGACTTCGATCTCCTCCTCCGCTCTGGCTCATTCTGCTACATTATGAAGTCGTGCTTTACACGGAGCACGACGGAACACTACCCTGTACTGTTAATTTGCGTGTTCGTTCTGTTTACGCACCTGGCCGATGACACGAAAAGGACAGGTGTGGGATGCCAATCCACAACGATTCGAGCAGACCTTTGCTTTAGGGTATCGTTTGAGCTGTAGACAGTACGTTTTTACCGCATCGACAAATTGATCACCTATTCGGTGACTGAGGGCAAGGCATTGACACAAATTTAAGGATTACCAGGGCCCCGTTGATTTGCAGTTAACGTTGGCTGAATTGGAATAGCCACGAAAAAGACAAGATTTTTTTGTATGAATAACCCCTCTAGGTTATAACAATTACTTTGGGCTCTGATGATACTCGACAGATGTAATGGGCGCGGCTTTCTTAACCTTTTTAATTTAATCTCTTCGTGCGAACGCTTGAAAAAGAATGGACAACAGCGTGATGGTCAATTGCGTCAGATAAACGTGGCAATCGCACACTCAGATAAGCCCATCTTGAAGTTGGCAAGCGTAACCTTCAACTTGTCTCCAGATAGTTGCCATCGTTGTATTTGGTACCATACTCAACCAGTAGACTGAGTAGGCTCAATCTAAAACCGCTTCAATCTATTCTACTTCAAACCACGTAGCGACTGGTCCATCCTATTGTGTGAAAACAAACTATTCCCTTATACTCGCAAAGTCTCGTCGACAGAAATTTTGTCCATAGTTGTCTCGTTGAGTCTGCCAGCAAGGTCAGCTATACGCTTGGGAATACCTTTTGTAGCTCGCAGGACCGGGTGCGAAGCTATGAGCTCCAACTTGTCCGTGGTGGAAGGCAGGCGCGCGTGATTCAGCTCTTCAACGCGAATAGGCCGACTCATAAGACTCACCAGCATCATGGTCGCGCTCCTCATGTCAAACTTTGACAGCGTGTATAAGCGCTCTCCATGGCCGCGGACAGCACCGTCCGTACAGATCGACGTTCTTGCGGTCAGTACAATCTTCAATAACCCATTATTCGTCAGTATCTCGGACAAAAAAGCGCGGAAGCGGTCGCGGCGAGCATCACTGCGCAGGAGATAATCGCAGCCGTCAATGATCATCAGCATCTGCTGACTACTGAACTCGAGTCGGGCTTTGTGTTGCTTTATATGGTCCAATACCATCGTCTCTAACCGATTCAGCACGCGGCATCTGCCGTTTGCAATATTGATGTTTCGCCGCACCATGCCCACGATCTCATCCATTTCGACTTGAGCAAGCCTCGCGACTGAGAAAACACAAACACCACCCTCTGATGTAATCCGCGGCCCAACATAATTGGCCACTGCGTGGGCGACTGCCGTCTTTCCAATGCCTTCTTCGCCACAGATCGTCACAAGCCGTGTAATACGAGACTGCGTCATCATCAAAGCAAGACTGATCTTGTACACTTCGATCGAACGACTGCAAAATCCTTGGCACTTCGCTGGCATGTCACCAAACCACAACGTCGGGTACCGCTTGGACTTAACCGGCTCCAAATGAACTGATCTCGTAGCCTCCACAGCAACTAACGGAAATATAACCTCCGAGTGGTCGCCATCTTCCGGATAGAGCACAAACTTATCAGCAACAGCGAGGGGTCCTCGAATATTCGGAGACTTAGCAACGGATTGCTGCGCGATGGTAAAACTGGCTCCCACAGACTTGCCAGTTGCAAGTGCCAGGTAAAAGGCGCGCGTGAACTCAATTGCAGCGTAATCTTCGATCTGCTGGTTTGAGCGAACACCGATGACGTGCGGGATGCCACACGAGACAAAAGCATCTGCCAGCGGTGCAGACGAGCACGCAGAAACAAACACCAGACGCAGTGTTGACTCATCGCCAGCACCTCCGGCCAGAAACAATTCCTGGAGTCCTTTGTGCGGTATTGGATGGACCAAGCCCATGCCGTCCTCAAAGTACAGATGGTTCTCGTCTCCATGGCCTGAGAAATGAAGTGCTCGACATCCGAGCGTGATCATGGCTCGAAATGTATCCGTGTTGGCAAACTTAGCGACCACGTCGATCTGACGCGAGCACTCGTACGTCCTGGACGATGTCATTCCAGTGTCAGTACTACCCAATGTATTGACATGAGCGTCTGTAGCCGTTCTTTTTGCAAATTTGGAGGCTTCAATTAGACTCTTTTGGAGAATAGAGTACTCGCGCTTCACATCGAGCTCAGCGATTGGATGATACTTGCCCTGAATGTCTTTGCCCACGAGTGGTGCTGAGAAGAGCACGCCCAGTGTATACTCTTGGAAATGAGGCCGTTCCTGTGATTTGTCCGCCTGTACATCGTCGCCACTACTTCTCGCAGTGCTGCGTTCTTGAGCGCCTTTCACGTGTGGATCTTCCACGACGTACCCAAGCAGCACATTGCCTTGACGAGACAAGAGCGTAATCTCCTGTCCATCCTGGAGCTTGTACTTGACGCCCTTTTTCACTTGCACATTATCGATCTTGATGCCATTCGTGCTGTGGTCGGAGATAAACACCGCATGACACTGCGTCTCGGGGTCCAGCGCTGTCTCGAGGAGACAATGCGTCCGGCTCAGCTTGACGGGATCAATGGCCGAGGTTTTTTTGTCGAAAATACTCTGAAACTTTTCCCTCCCTAACTTGATACAAGGCGTCCCGATCTGCATTTCAATGCGGTACAGTCCCTTCTGCTCGAGCGCATTTTTTCTGAAACGCCGTCACGACTTTGTCCACTTCAGGGTGCAACGCCAGACGTAAGACGAGACGCGACGACGGGGGACTGTCGTCGACAGATAATTGGGTACACTCTTGCGTGTTTTGCTGCGAGAGATTCAAGGCTTCCAGGCGCTGCTGCGAGTCTTCTCGTAACGCTGTCAACGACTGCACGTCTCCATTTTGCTTGCTGTTGCCTCGTGCGACACTGTTGCAGCCAGTGTTCTCGGTCCCTTCACCTACCCCTGTTAGTGTCTCGGGATAAGTCCGTGACGACACTTTGAGGCGCTTATTCGGTAAACAGCTGTCGACGCAAAGTACCGGCTCTTGTCTCGGCTTGTGCGCGCTCTGGACGCTACTCGAGGACGTAGAAGGGACAGCGGCGATTGCACTGGATCCAGCCGAGTCGGCTGCGAGGAGCTGCAGCACGGAAGGCGCGCTGGACGAGGCACCTCGTTTGGTTGGCGCGCGGGGTACAGCAGACAAGCAAGTGTCTGGCGTGTCAAGGTTGCTGCAACGAGCGTCTGGAAAGGGTAACGTACCGTCGACAAAGGACCGTCGAGGTGTTGACGCAGAGGAAAAGACGCCGGCGCGCGCGCACTCGTCGTCGCCCATGGCGTTCGTTTCCCTTGAAGTGCGGAAGGGAAATGCGCGGTTGCCGGAAAGCGGGGATAGACCAGGGGTGGGGGTAGGGCAGGGCAAGAGAAATGTCGATAGTGAAAGCAAATTAGCGCGCGTTGCTCCCTCCGACAGAAATGTAGGTTTGGCGATAGAGGGTTTTATTAGCATAGAGAAGTTATGATGTATTAGATCGTAGTGTGGAAGCTTGCATGACTTCTATCTCCTTTTTTGAGTTAGCACGTAGACTGCAGCAAGTAAAGAACATCACCTCTATAAAGATGGGGGAGCAGCAAGCTTTGGAGCTCGTCTTTTAGTAAGTTACTCAGTCCATAGAACTGAATCAAATTGCAAAACGCTATACTACAGCAGTCACTGACGAAGGGTAAGATAGGGGAACAAGCTCTGGGAGCTCGCCCCTCGATACAAGTAACCTAGTTCGGAGAACTGCATCAAGATGCAAAACACTATACAACAGCCGCAGTCACTGAAGATGGAGTACGATGCTGGTAATGTATGTATTGACACAGTAAAGTATAGTTAGGCAACGCGATCGGTCTTTGCTTATGAGCGTCCAGCATTTGCTAGTGTGACCATATTCACCTTCGATCGATATTAAGTCAATCTCGTGCGTGCAGCACAATTGTGACCTCGCCAAAGAGTGACACCGATCATGCTAATCGACTTATGAGGGGGGACAGGCTAGATCGCACTTAGCACGTGTAAGGTACACCTAGTCGCGTCATAAACAGACGCACAGCTCACACAGACACACAAACAGACAGACAAGTATGATTTTAAAGCGGCATTCGACCCTGCGCACAGTCACTACTAGCTTCAACCTTCGGGATAGTAATTGTTTGTATGATGTTTTTAAAGAGCAAAGAACATCAACATTCACTGTTTGCGAAAGATAGAAGAATTACGCTATTTTTAGTGTCAAATATTCGCTCATTAGCCCTCCATTCGCCCTGAGTCACTTTTTAGCCAAATCTTGTTCAATGACCTTTGGCATTGCATGCGACGTCATGCTCTATGTCAAGCACTTTTTTACCGTCGGCAATACACGCTTTATCATCGACGGCGTCAAGAGCAGTACCACGGGCAACGTCATCTTCAACAGCGCGGGCGCTATCACGTGCGGTTCATCTTCTACTTAATTTAGTACTATAACAATATCACGGGTGGCGCTCCGTTTGGCATCGAAAGCAGCAACACAAGGACTTTCCCCACACCCTTAGCATCCCGAAAATTTTTAACTTGGTCGTCATCGCGACCCCAAATTGTGATATGGATGATCTCATTTTATGGGGAAGAACGTCCAATCGGGTCCTGTCAGTGTCCCCCGGTGTCTCCTCTCCGTTCAATATTTGCGATAATCTCTTTTTACGCAGTATACAGACTATCCTTATAGTTGATCTTTGCATGGTGATTAGATTACAAGACGAAAGGCGCGTGGTAATTAGATAGCAAGACGAAAGGCGCGTGTGAAACGAGATCTCGATGATACATAGGCATCGCATTCAGCTGAACCATTTCACGACGCCATTCGTTCATTTTCTTCCGAATGTTTTTGAACTGATCCATTAATGGTAAACATCTAAGCGAATTGATTGCCACCATAACACGATCAAAGAGAAATGGTATTAACATTTCATAAAAAGGCCTTTAATCACGGTCTCAGAGACTGATACACCTGTAGGAAACGTTTGATTAACTGTTGGAATTTGACTCATGTCAATTCATAGAAGTCTTGCTGAAGAGCGCAGGAGACGAAGCACTCAACGATCGTCCGGCTTTGCGTGAAATGGCATCACATGTACGTCTTTTTTGGTAAATATCAGAGCTCTAAAAATATTCAAATGTCACCCCGCACCCCCTGAACTGTAACGGGGCACACCTTATTCCGTTAGCTGAATCAACCTTGCACTGCTGACAGTGCAAGAGTGTGTGCGTACGACTACCTCACGTACACGTACATGCAGAGAAAGATTAATACGCAGAGTAAGAGTACTCAGTAAAGGTGAAAAGTAAAACTGTTTTCAGTATAGTTATTCCTTTTTGCTAAATTAATTTTGACTTCATTTAACTGTGTCTAACACAAACATGTATCGTGACTATCTGCGCACCACTCATTGCGTGCTTTTGTCGCAGCTGGACTTTAATGGTGAATATCTCGATCCTGTATCAGCCAATGAGTAGTGTGTTACATCTGCGAAGCAATATTATCTATTAGGTTAATGTTTTGAGAGTGTCGTGTTTTCTCAAACACAAGGTTCATACTTGATAGTTACCTTGTGTATATTCTCGTGTAACAGATGTTGCAAAATGATATTTCGTACATATCCGGGTACTAGGTGTACGCCGGTAAAATCTGCTAGAAAATTTTTGATTAGTCCGTTTAAGAGTTAGTTCTAGAATTTTCGATGCTTAGGGAAACGTGTGGCAGCGGCAGAGGCCGCTGCAATGAGAGGTCTCACTTTGCGTTCGGTAAGCCACTGAGGAGGCCCGCGGCGGCGGGCCGAAAAGCGTCCGAAAGTGAAATCTTTTCCATCATGTGCTCTTAGTTTCTTACAGGTTATGAGCCCAAAATCGCGCGTGTGCCGCCCTGCATGGGCAGGCGCTGTTGCATAATTGTGAAAACAAAGAGCGCATGATGGAGGGCTGAGCTGTTGGGATGATCGGCACAAGAAGGATACTTGGTGCTGAGAGAGACCCACACGGGGAAGGATAGCGGCACCAAGCTAGAAGAAGCTGGTGCGTCCGCAGTCAAGTCAAGATGCGGAGACAAGGAAGATGTCGCAAGAACCGAAGATAAAGAAAAGAGGACGGCGTATAGAAGTGCAGGACGGTGGAATATTGCCAGGAGTCCGTGGACCATTCGACCACCGACGAGTCGAGCGAATCAATGCTAGGGCGGCAAGCATCGTGATACGCTGGCGGGAAGCCCTAGGCGGCGCAAGGATAAAGCGTGCGTACAAGCATCCAGGACATGCACAGTTGGCAAGATGTTCAAGATGAACAGCCAAAGAGAGCACAAGCAGCGGTGATACCAAGTCGCACACTCTCACCGGCGAGGGGTAGTGTTGGAAAGTGGTATTTCGTACATATCCGGGTACTAGGTGTACGCCGGTAAAATCTGCTAGAAAATGTTAGATTAGTCCGTTTAAGAGGTAGTTCTAGAATGGTCGATGCTTAGGGAAACGTGTGGCAGCGGCAGAGGCCGCTGCACTGAGAGGCCTCAGTTCGCGTTCGGTAAGCCACTGAGGAGGCCCGCGGCGGCGAGCCGAAACGCGTCCGAAAGTGGAATCTTTTCCATCATGTGCTCTTAGACATATACAACAGAGGCACCCCGTTACATCACCGCACCCCCCCTTGGCCATCAGTCGCATCAGTGACTGGGTGATGATTGAGTGAATCTTTTGAATGTATTTGGGACAAGGAAGCACTTTTTGGACAATCTATCAATTTAATGTTCTCATCGCATGGGTAACAAGTCCATGCGGTGCACAGTTAAAGCTTTTGAGAACGCAGCCAAGAGACTCATCTCAACTGCCGAAAGGGGGACATGATCGCCCGAAGCAGCTGACGTAAGTTCACTTGCTGCGTCCACGGCAGCAGCGACTACTGGTGCATCACCGACACGCGGTGATGCACCACGCGATATCGAAGAAGGTGAGCTTAAGCACACACACTCTGGCGAGTCTGACGGTGAGAACGACTAGAATGAGGCGAAATCCAAGGATGAGCCAGAGTTGGCTAAACCGGAGACGACTGAGTCAGTTTACCGAAGCGGTTCAAGCCTCTCAGATCGTCGTGACATCTTTGGATCCTTCGGCGAGTCAGACCCTCCGAATCTGAGACGGAGTCGTTTGGCTGAAAGCGAGAGAGGCAGTGCATCTGGACCCCGGGACGATTTTGAAGATGATGCAATCTTGCATCAGAGTCCGGGCGATCAGGATAATCCTAGTGTTAGTACTTCTGTTGAAACGAGACAAAAGACTGTGAATCGCAGCATCTTGCGCGTTGCTTCTGAGAAGTAGCCGTAGATATTTTCCTCAGAGAGTGTTCTATCTTCTGTCTGACACGACAGGTGATTTTTATCGAATAAGATTATTCGATTCATTAAGGCTTTATACGCTTTATCCTTGTGCGAGTAACTTTTGCACTGAATATGTTATTTCATCGAAGCGTTCTTGAAGCATCGATGGTACATTGGGAATCACAAGCGTGATGGTCCCTCCTTGGTTCAGGCATGAAAATCTTTTATTCACAACATTGTGAGATAAAGCATGACGCCTGGCTAGACAGGATATTGCTAGCTAAAAAACAGTTT